TGAAGAAAGAATAAAATGTAATACAGTACCAGTAAAGAAATAAAGCTTCTTTAAATTAAAAAGTAATTAATTTGTATTAATAGAATTAGCCTTTGTTATTGGTTAGTCTTAGGAGATTAATCACATCACATCTTTATTATCTATCATTTCTACAGAGTATGTTTGTTTGTGATAGAAACAATTCTATAACATCCTTTTTATTCTTAACCGCAACTTTTTTAATTTCTTTTATCTTGTCAATTGCAATTTTTTTAGTTCTTTAATTAATCTGATGTTCTTGATTTTCATTAAGCATTGATAAAAATTATACATAGATTAAAGTATCATTTTTATTATACTTTTTAATTAGCTAATTACTTTAAAATCAATCACTTCATTCATTATTATATTTCATTGTTTTCTTGTATTGTTCTTTATTTCTTGCTTATTATTCTTGTAACTTTACATCTTTTATTTGTTTTGATTATTATCTTTATTTATTTCTTCTTTCCTTAACTTTTTCCATTTTTCATTTTATTTTAGATTGAATAATCTTCTTGTTCTATATTATCATCATTTCATTACTTATTTATTTCTTTATATTCCCCTTTGTCAATTTACTTCTTATCTTCTTGATTTCACTTTAATTTTATTCTTTGGTAATATTTTATGATTCTTGTTGATGCTTATTTTATTGCCGTTCAACTTATTCATATTTTTCTTGATCATTTTTCTTTTTAAACGAATGTTCATTTAGTTGTTTACCATTCTAATCACTCGTTTTATTGCCATTGAACTTCGTTCTCTCGTATGAAATTAAATATTTACATTTTTGGTTTTCTTTACCAGAGTCAAGGGTGTTAATCGGTTGCAATGGTAACGAAATTTATTGTATATTCTGCATTGAAAAAGAACATACACTTCATTTACTTCTAATATAAATTAATTAGTTAATTAAGTCTTAACAGATTTATCCATATTATTCCTTGACTAAGGAAACTATGGAGAGGTGAATTGACCGTACAGTTATACTTTTTATTCTAACAAAAAACTCAATTTCAAAAGAGTATTTTAATTTTAACTTCATGTCATTCTTATTTAGAGATTTTTCTTATTTTTTTATAAATTTCTTTTTTTTTCTTTTTACATCTTTCTTCTTATTTATTTTTTATGTTTAACTGTACATTTATTAAGTTATTTCTATACACCTTTTATTGTCAAAATGTATTTTGTATTACCTCTTTCGATTTTTCTTATTTTCTTTTTTTTAAAGTTCATTTTCTGTTGTTACACTTTAAATCCTATTTATTCTTTATATTCACTTTAATGTAATCTCTCAATATTTATATTATTTTGTATTAATGTTATATGTTGATATAAAATGGATATTTTATACAAATTAGATTATATTTGTATTATTATTATTTTCTTATAACTCATTATCATATCCAATGCAATTAATCAACAGCATAAGTAATTACCATATTCGATACAAAATACTGATAATTTAAAAGAATTTGAAGAGATATATGAGATCATAATAAGATTTATTTACAAAAATTACAATTCTTAGATGAACAAGTGTTTTTTGATTTATTCAAGTATCTCAATATTTACACTTCAATTATTTTTGAGTCATTATTATTTCATATTATTTATGTTCAAAAAGAGAATGCTAAGAAGTATTATTAATAGACTTATCAAATGAAAAAAGATTTAAGGATAGTTATAATAAGTGAAGAACTACACATTAGACTGTATGATTCTATTAAAGTGAAATAATACGAATTTATAACACAAACAATAAACGATATTAAATGTTATTTATTTGAATTGAATCAATATAATATATCATCAAAATACTTATTGATTATATTAGAAATTGAACTTCTTTCAAATAAATCTATACGGTCAAATAAAATAACAAAGAGGATAACATGATAAAGAAGTATTAAAAGATTAAGTTGAAAGAACACAGGTATTATTAATCAATGAAAAAACAACAAATACACATTTAAGATTTAAGAAATTATCAAGTTGAATTCATAGTTTTTAATAAATAATGATAATGTGGATTTATCCAAATGTTAACTTAAATAAATAATTGTTATAGAAGAAACACTAACTTATCAATAAATTATTTATTGACAATATTAGTTTAATATAAAAGAGAAAATGATTTATTACAACTAAACCATCTTTATATTTGATAAAACACATTCTCATTTCTGAAATAGAAAAGAAGATTCAATGAATGAGTATGTCGTTTCTTATTGACTCATTTATGGTATATATTTCTGATGAATCAAAGAACGTGCACAAGAAAATAAAATATATTTTATCATTCATCTCGTATTTCTCATCCTCTTGATTCTCTTCACGAAATGTTTGTTTATTTTATATTATTATTCTACACACTAAATTGTACAAATTCACTAAAACTAAAATACCATATCATATTATTACAACACAAATACAAACGGAACAATAAATCAACAACAATTTAAAAAAGTACAAAAGAAGAGATCAATTAAAATGGTCATAAATATCTCTTTATTAATTCATTCACAAAATAACAACTTAATTTTAACATTTTTATTTCCAACTATTTTAAATTAATACTTCTTTCTTGATTTCGTGCTGATTCAATGAATAGTGTCATATCTAATTTTGATAGAGATTATTTTGTTTGAATATTTAACATTCAGTGAAATGTATGAATTGACTTTGATATTTAATTACTTATTATTCATACTGAGTTATGAATTCAAGATAAAATGGATATTGGTATAATTAATTTGAATGATTTTTTGATATTTTAATTGAAATTAGAAGTTATGGTTAATGAATATAAAATAAATAACAACCATTTGAATGATACTATTAATAAAAATGAATAATAATTTAATTTATTCCATTTCTTCTATTTATATGGAATATATTTAAAATACTACCACAAATTAAAAATGAAAAAGATAAAAGAAATAAGAAATTTAAATGAATAATATATACAAAATCCAACAAAACAAAAATATGTGTTAAAGTGAAAATAAATAAGAATAAGAAAGAATATAATAATGAAATAACAGAAATATAAAATAATAAGAATAATTGAAGATATAAATAAAAGAAGAAATACATAAAAAATAGTTAAGACCAAAGAATAAACTGTGAAGAATATAAATAAAAAACACCACATCAAAACGACAATCAATTGAATGTTTTTCAAATAAAGGAATTTAAGAAGATATTATTAGAAAACACAATAAAGAACAAGAAATTATTAATAAGAAACTTAAAACAAAATAGTTGCTGTAATATCAACAAATATAGAACACTCATAAGAGTTTTATAAGAACCACTAAATTCTGTTGAGTAATTGCATAATCCTTTCACCTTCTATAATTATATTTTTCATACACTTTTCATAATAAATTTAAACATTACAGTATATGATTATTATGTTTACTCCATCCTGTTAGAGTGTTGACACCCACACGACTTTCAATATGCTCCTTTCAATAATTTCTTTTCATTCTCATTAGTGTTAGATGGAAGAAGAAGGAGTTATGAGAGAAGTGTGCAAGCAACCTGAAGATTGGGTGAGTCAGTTTCTGAATAGGTAGCAGATGTTAACACTTCTCTTTTACACCTGTCATGGCTGATTTATTATAATGAGTTCTCAAAATAATTGAATTCAACAAACCCTAACCCTGTTAGTGTTATATGATAAAATAGGTTATAATAACAAAGTCAGTTGTAGAATATAATTAAAGTAAGTGTTATGTTATTATTATAATTCATTTATATTTTTCAAATTAAATTTTTATTTAATGAATGATGAATCATTAATGAGTATTCATTACTTTACAATTTTTATTTATTTGTTTATATTAACATTGTTATTCAGTAATTTTGATTTGTTGTTTTATTTACTCATTTTATGTTTATTATACATTAAACTCAATTTTATTGATATTTTTAATAAATTATTATCATTTTCTTTATAATTATTAACAATTTTCCATCTCTTCTTTATTTTTATTAATTGTTATTAATTTATACTCTAAGTTATACAACAGTTCTTTTGTTAACATTATCATTTCTTTAATTTCATCATTCTTGGTTCATGGTTTAAATTATTTATTTATATTAAATAGTTGAGATTACTTATGTGATATTTTCATTTTATATAATATCAAATCTATTTAAATCTAAAAACAAATGAAATGATATTGTATCATTTTGTATAATAATATTCAATAAATAAATTAACGTAATTACAATCGTTTTATCATTTATAATAATTTTTTCATTTCATGTTATTATTTTTATTCATTTTCTCTTTTTATTTATTCTCTCTTTACATCTTCTTATATTTAATTTGAAAATTAATTTAATTTTAAATTAAATAATAAATATAAATAAAAGTATTCTTATAGAACTTAAAAATAATAATAAAAGACAAATAATAAAATACTTAATAAATTTTAATAAAAAAATTTTTCCTTGAAAACTATAACAGAACAAATGGAACTACATTGAAGGTGAACCAATTTACCCTTCATCTTTATCAATAACCAACAAGAAGGGTATCACTATTTTTTAGTGATACACAACTCAACCTCGATATCTCTTTATCAACAATTTAAATAAACTCTATTAATGATCCTAGTGATAACCATTAGTGCTTTTACATAAGTACAAGAACGTCTCCCATGTCCAAACACTCCTGAACATGCCCAACAAGAAATAAAACCAATGAAGAATAAATTAACACCTAAAGAAAAGATTAGTCATTTCATTAAAAGACAGGTTGATGTTCCATTAAAATTAATGGAAGATATTACTGGAGAAAATGGTAGATTAAGAAAAGAAATGGAAAGAATCAGAACATTAATTATGATAGAAAATAAAGCACAAAAGGAGCTTCGAAACGGTATTCTTTTTGAAAGGTTAAGGTTATTTTAAGAACCAAGATATCCTTGATTTAAATACTTTTTGAAGCATTTAATTTTAGAATGGATTATTTTGATATAAATAATACAATCATTCAAACATTTTTGATGATGGTTTTAAAGATGATCATAAAATTTAGTTGATAGAATATGTGAAATGTCAATTATTAGATTATCTTGAATTAATGAAAGAAATACAATATATCATATTCATTATCAGATATTCTTTTGTTGTAATAATTTAAATATTGTATTAGATAAACAAGAAACAAGAAAAGCAACATTTATAATGAATAAATTAATAAAAATGAATAGAATAGAACATTTATATGAAGTAGTTATTTATGTATTACAAAATACAGGTGAAGATAAAACATTCAAACAATTAAAAGATTTGATCAAAACATCATTATTGGAATGAATTATGAAAAGTTTATTCAACTCACTTCAATATTATAAACAATAACAAGAAAAACATTTATTAATTATAATAAGATGCATCATTTGCATTAATGAAAGAAGATAAAACATGTAGAGAAATCATTACAAGATTAATACATTTGAAAACAACAATCATTGTAAATATACACATATAGAAATGGTTAAATCAATCTTTCAAAACACAAGTATCAATAATTATTATATTTAAATGATATTCTAAATATTTCAAATTTATATTTAGACAAATAACAGTGGTTGTAAGTGAGTTAGTTACTTATTGATTATATTTATGAATGAATATGAATCAAGTAATGAAAATAGATAAATTAACAGGAGATGTAAAAGTTAATAAAAAGATTGAATTAATTGATCATTCTTAAATATTTTGATATTATCATAATTATAATCTGGATAGTTTTCTCACTATTTCATGTAATGTTTTGTTTTCAAATATTATATTTCAACTTCTTCATTCATTTTCTGGACATCATGAACATTACTCATACTTTCCAATTCAATTGTGAATAACTTTTTCATTGATCAAATGTGCTATTTATCATTATTCATTCAGTGAAATCATATCTATTTATTGTATCTATAATTTCTTGTTTTTATCAAACATATTGCAATGTTTATAATCATTATTCATACTTGAACAGTTACATAAATCAAATTCATGTTTGGTGAATTGTTTAAATTTAATGAATATTTCATAAATATTTTATATATTTTTTAGTTTTGATATTATTTATATTCTCTTCATCAATAGACATTTATTGTGTTGTATTTTGTTGATGTGTTAATTTGTTTATTTGTTGATTCATTGGATTTGTATCATATTCATATTCTTCATTATCATAAACAACATCTTCTAATGTTTCATCACAACAATTTTTTGTTATCGTTCAGAAACACTACTTTTAGTTTGTTTTGATTGTTTAATACTCATCTAATAATAACTAGTTCAAGATGTATTCATTAAATAATCAAAGATATTTAACAATCACAAGAGAAAATACATCTCTAAATATAACAACAGGTAAATGGAGAGTGAATTTACCATGAGAATTCATTACTTCTGAAAACTATCCTAAAACAATAAAGTATTGAATTTTGTTTATTTTAATTTGAATGGTCAATTAGATATTGGTGTTAGTTGTCATGGTTCATTTAATTATGATTCACCTGAAAATGATCAAATGATATGTTTTTCAACATATGGAAATATGACACCAAAACATTTTAATATTAATAAAAATATATCTTCAATAGAAATATGGTTTAAAGATTATAAAGGAAATATTATTATGCCACTTGGAATTTGGGATGAATATTTTATCTTAGAACTTAATTTACATTATTAATGCAACCAATTGGTTCAAAATATTTAAATAAAAATAATATTTTAACAACAAGATATTTTAATAATAATACACTTTATCTTGATACAATTAAATCATCAGATGGAATGACAACAATTAATGATAAAGATATTCTATCAAATAATGAAATTGATGAAATAAAAGAAACAGATTGAAAGATAAAAGAAACAGAACAAAGAATTAATAAAGAAATCAAAGAAAATGATGAAGAAATAAGTAAAATAGAAACATAAATAAATTAGAATATGACAATCGGAATCAATCTAATGTCATTACTCATCTTGTTGTTGAATGTAATAATAAAAGTGAAATAAAACAAATTTTCATTCCATTAATGCATTTTTGAAAGTTTTCATATTTATTGCTAGTATAATATACCGTTAGCAATTAAGTATAATTTATTTGTTTCGTTTCTGTTTCAGGTTATATTTGTATTTCTCTTATTATAACTTTATTTTATTAGTTTCATTCAGTAATATTTATTAAAACAATTTTCTGGTATTCTTTTATTTTTCTTTAAACTTTTTTCACACCTACATTTATAAAAACATCCATCCCCTATTTTAATAATTGCTGTTGGAATATTAATTGTTTTTAGTGATAAACAATTATAAAAACACTTATACCCTATTTCAGTAACTGATGATGGGATATCAACTGATTTTAATGACATACACTTTTCAAAACAATAATCTCCTATTTTACTAACTGACGATGGAATCTTAATCTTTTTTAATGATGAACATTCACAAAAACAATTCCATCCTATTTTACTAACTGATGCTGGAATATCAACTGATTTTAATGAAGAACATCCGCTGAAACAGTGATTTCCTAATTTAGTAATTGATGAAGGAATAATAAATTCATTAATATCTTTCTTTTCAAAAGTCTTTCCATTTATCATTTCTAAGCATTCAGGTATTTCAATTCTAACTAACACTGGTTCATTCATAAATATTCTTTCTTTACTTATGAATTGTGTATTGTCTATACTCATATTGGTTAATGACAGACAATTTTGAAAACACTCAACCCCTAACACACTAATTGTTGATGGTATATTAATATATTTTAATGAATAACATCTGTCGAAACAACTATCTTCTATTTCACTAACCGTTGTTGGAATAGTAATTGATGTTAATGAACAATTACTAAAACAGTCCCATTGTATTTTAGTAATTGTTTTTGGTATAGTAATTGATGTTATGTCAGTGTATTCAAAACATTTCCACCCAAGTGACTTAACTTCTAGTGGTATTATATTTCCATGTTCCTCTCTATCTGATTGTGTATATTCTATATTTTTATATACACTCCCTTCTTCTTTTTCTTTTAAATATGTTGAATAACTAATTGTATACCATATTATATATTTAAATATTCTTCCATCTTTAAACACTTCATCGTCTTTACTATACAAGTGTAGTGTTTCAATATTAGGAAATAACCTTCTTGAATATTCATTTAAAGGAATTGGATTAAAATGAAATCGTTCCATATTTCCTTGAAACTTTTTAATTCCTATTTCTAAATTAATAAAATCATTAATGTCATCAAAGTACATTGACGTTATCATTATTTCATTATGTCCTAATCTCATTCTTTTTTATTGTTGTTTATTGTGTTTATTAGTTTGATTTGTTAATTCTTCTTTATATTTTAATTTGAACTTGAAATAATTTTAAGATTATCATTCTATTTTCTTCTATTTATTCTTTATTGAAATTCAAGTAAATATTCATTTCATAAACAATAAATTATTAATAGGATGAGTTGTATTATATAAATGGCTATAATTAAAACATTCTATTTATTATTTGTGTTTATATTTAATTGTTTTAATATTATCTATGAACTAAAGACTACAAATAAGTTAATTATTAAGTCATAGTCAGATTTTATTATTTATAATTTTATTCACTTATTCTATCTTTTACTTGTTTTTGATAATAAAAATAATGAGTATGACATGAATAAACAACTAATAAGTAGAAAAACATATAAAATAATAAATGAAAATAAAACGAATAATGGTTAATATTCCAAATAATAATTTTTTATTTATACTAATGTTTTGTGTTTAAGCTGTGAATATTATAACATTATAATATCGTTCATAAAATAGTAATTCATTTACATCAATTATTATCAAACATTTAGTGTTTTTATTAATTTATGTTTATTTTATGTTTATTGTTTGTATTAGATTGATATTTTAATGTTTCATTTCTTTACTTTTTATTGAGAAATTAAAATATCAAATATACATTATTTTAATCATTAATATTTATTATTTTTTTTCTTCTTTATTGAGTATTTATTTATTATTATAAAAATAACATTGCATTATTTTATTTCTTTATAATTATTATTTATTCACTGTTACAGTATTATTTTAATAATTGTCAAAAAAAAGTCAAGTTGTTTTGGTTATTCATTATTTTCTTTTTTTTCTTTATAATCTGGATTTCTTATTTTAGTCTATTATTTTGTAATAAAATGTTATATTTTCTAAATTGTTGAAAGCATGAATTCTTTAATTATTGCATTGTTATTTCTTTTGTTCTATTTTATGTATTGACTTCTTAGTCAATCAATTTTCATTCTTGACTTTATCTTTCTATTACTCTTATATTTCTTATTCTTCTTTATTTATTTTGATATATTTATCTTCTTCATTTTATGATATTATTTCTATTATGATAATATCTGTTATTTATGTTATAATTCCTATTAAAGCATTTGATAGTGTTAGTGAATTAGATAAATAACACCTTCTTATTATAGTTATTTTAATAATACCTATCTGACCCATTCTCTGCCATTTAGATTTCCTGGTTAAAATGGATTTCTCAATATTTTGTTGAAGTTACCTATTCTTTTTGTAATATTTTTATGTTGTATATATCTTTTTTACTCTTTTGTTTAATACTATATATAACCCAAGTCAATAAACAAACAAATGATTTCTTTATGAATGGGATTAGAACAATGAAGTTAAGTAACACAGATTTATTGAATTTGTCTATGGCAAGTGAACCAAATAATTAATTTTTTGGTTCATTGATGTTTATCTTTAGTTTAAATAACAATTCAAAACAATAATAATCAAACACAATATCAATGATAAAATATGAAAGAAATGAATATTAGAATATAAAGAACAAAGAAGTTCTGATATTTGGTATATCCATTAATTAGCGACTTGTTTAATTAGATCTAATAAAGGTTGTGGAGATGGAGGGGATTGTGCTACAATAAAAGGATGCCATAATAATGTTACAGCATCTGGTCTTTGATTATAATCAATAATAAGACATTGTGCAACAAAATCAACCAATTGAGTTGTCCACAACTTTGGATTTTTAAAAGAAGGAGGTTTATTTTCAATGACAGTAAGTAATTGGTCAAAACTAGTGACATGTCTATTTGGTGGATTTCCTTCTGCCATTTCAATAACAGTAATTCCTAAAGACCAAATATCTGTTTTATTATTATAGAAAGATTTTTTAATGACTTCAGGTGACATAAATAAAGGACTTCCAATAAAGTCTTCTGCTTTCTTATTTTCATTCTCTTTATATTGTTGAGATACACCAAAATCAGCTAATTTTACTTTACCTTCATTTGTAAGTAAAATATTTCCAGCTTTAATATCATGATGGATAATTTTAATACTATGAAGATAAACTAATCCTTTTAATGTTTCATTTAATACATAACGAAGTTGTTGTTCATTTAAATTTTCCATTGTTTTCTTCATAAGATCTT